GCTCCACGGTGCTATGATTCTATGGGATATTTATTCCCACTTAAGTCTCAGAATCGCTGCTGGGCTCTTTTGTGCTCCTTTTAATGCCAAAGGAGTCCGTGGCGGCTTTCTCGCTCAATGTTCTTTCGCGTTGTGAGCATCAGTTCCAGGGGAAGAGATGGGAGGAAAGTAATGCAGGAGGAAGGGGAAGAGACCACCCGAGGGCTCCCGCGCTTTCCTCCGTCCTCCTTTGCATTGGCATGGGAAGCCAGGGACGCAATGTTTCAGGGAAGCCTGAGAGATTTGCAAACATTTCCTCTGCAAGGTGAACCAAGCCCGCCTCTGAATCGCTGACAACACTATTGAAAAAAAATCTGTTCCTGGTGTGAAAGGGTTATTTCCAATTTAATTGTGTGGTCCGCACTTTGAAAGTAGGTGTTATACTCCAGGAACTTTGTTTTTGTGGGTGCCGCAAACTATGTTGAGTTGGTTGAGGCTATTGGGATATGGATTAGGACCTGTTAGGATCATCACCTATTGAGGATTATGACCTGTGTTGGAAATAGCAACCTCCCAAGCCTTTCAATATTGATTTGTTGATGTATATATTTGCTATTTACATCAACAATTAATCATAATCAATTGCGGCAAGTTCTTGGTGGTATGTATGGAGATTCCAAGCCACCTCATCTGTCTCCTGAGGAATCTGTCTAAGGACCAAGTAGCAAGTCAGAACTGACCACGGAACCACAGACTAGTTCAAGATTGGGAAAGGCGTATGGCAGAGTTGTCTACTCTCACCCAACCTATTCAACTTGTATGCAAAACACATCATGCGATGTGAAGGGCTTGACGAATGCAAGGCTGGGGTTAAAATTGCTGGAAGAAATTGAACACTTTAGATATGCAGATGATACCACTTTGATGGCCGAAAGCGAGGAGCCTTCTAAGTGAAAGAAGAAAGGGCAAAAGCTGGGTTGAAGCTAAACATAAAAAAACCAAGATTATGGCAACAAGAATGATTGACAACTAGGAAATAGAGGGAGAAAACGTGGAGGCCGCGACAGACTTTGTATTTCTAGGTGCAAAGATTACTGCAGACGCAGACTGCGGCCAGGAAATCAGGAGATGTTTCTTTCTTTGGAGAAGAGCAAGGACCAATCTTGATCAAAGGAGTAGAGACATCACACTGGCAAGAAAGATCTGCATAGTTAAAGCAGTGGTATTCCCTGTAGTGACCTACGGATGTGAGAGTTGGACCTTAGGGAAGGCTGAGTGAAGGAAGAGAGATGCTTTTGAGCTGTGGTGTTGGAGGAAAGTTCTGAGAGTGCCTTGGACTGCGAGAAGATCCAACCGGTCCATCCTTCAGGAAATAAGGCCCGACTGCTCACTGGAGGGAAGGATAGTAGAGGCCAAGATGAAGTACTTTGGCCACATCATAAGGAGACAGCAAAGCCTAGAGAAGGGAATGATGCTGGGGAAAGTGGAAGGCAAAAGGAAGAGGGGCCGACCAAGGGCAAGATGGATGGATGGTAGAAGAGACTGGCTTGACTCTGAAGGAGACCCTGAGGGTGGTGACGGCCGGCAGGGAGCTCTGGTGTGGGATGGGCCAGGAGGTCACAAAGAGTCAGAAGCGACTGAACAAATAGATAGAGAAGGAAGAACTGGGAGAAAGAGGAAGGGAAAGAAAAGATGGGGGAAGGAAGGGAAGAGGAAGAGAAGGAAGGAAGAAGGAAAGAAAAAAGGAAGGAAGGATGGAGAGAAAGAAAGGAGGAGAGAAAGAGGGAGGCAAGGTTGGCAACGCGTGGCGGGTACAGCTAGTATAATAATAACAATATTATATAGTGTTATTATATAGTGCTCATGTTTTATGTTAGATATAATTTCTACGATAGCTTACGTTTTAGTCAATTTCAGCTGTTACGTTATAATTTGTCTTGATACGTTATGTTATTTTGTACTATTTGTTGTTGTATTGAGGCACCAGTTCAAAATCTGGCAGCCAGTATTAAAAAAAACTCTAAAATTGGGACAGTAAATAAAGAACAACACTCAGAAAACAGAATTCCAGACAGGAAACAATCAGGGCCAGCTAACACCTCCCAACGGAGGATTCCCCCAGGCAGGAAGCAACCAGGCTTTGAAGCTGCAAGGCTATTAAATACTGATCAAGCTGACGAATGGCAACATTTACACTTGCTTCAGGCAGACAAATAATTCTTTCTCCCTCCCTGGACATTGTACAGATCTATAAACCTCACTTGCCTCATTTCCAACAGACCTCACAACCTCTGAGAATGCTTGCCATAGATGTGACAAGATAGATTAGACATAGATTAGGCAATCCCCCACCCTGGCAATCTTCAGGAGGAATTTGTAAACCTGGTTATTCTCATGTGCCTTCAGTGATTGACTGAAAGATTCTCCCTGACCACACTTTGCACAAAATGTCCTTAGACGCACTTTACTTTCTGGGTTGTGCAATGATATCTTTCCTCATTCCTGGAGCCTCCTCCTTAGAAGTTCCACCCAGAGGAAAGATCCACCCAGGGGGAAAGTGTTCTTGCCATACATCAAGGGAACCACTGACTGCAGAGGGAAGCTGAGGAGGAAACACAACATACAAACTATCTCCAGACCCACCAAGAAAATCCAACAAATGCTCCGTTCAGCAAAGGACAAGAGGGATCCTCTCACCTCTGCAGGAGTCTACCGTAGACCATGCAGCTGTGGACTGTCTGGGAGAATCCAAGGAACATGAAAGGCACTGCAGACTACTTCAACCAGAGAAGTCAGCCATAGCAGAGCGCCTTCTGCAGCCATGATTTTAACAGGAGCGGAGCGCAGGGAGCATACAACCCCCCTGTTGCGCCAACTCCACTGGCTACCGATCTGCTACCGGGCTGAATTCAAAGTGCTGGCGTTGGCCTTTAAAGCCCTAAACGGTTCCGGCCCAAGCTCCCTATCTGACCGCATCTCTGCCTATGAACCCACCAGGACTTTGAGATCTTCCGGGAGACCCTGCTCTCGATCCCGCCTGCTTCTCAAGCTCGGCTGGCGGGGACGAGAGATAGGGCCTTCTCGGTGGTGGCTCCTCGGCTGTGGAACGCCCTTCCTACGGACATTAGACTAGCACCATCTCTAATGGTATTCCGCAAAAAGGTGAAGACCTGGATGTTTGTGCAGGCGTTTGAGTAATTTAGTGCAATCTGGTAATGGAACATAGGAATGGAACAAGGGACGACGAACCTGGACTACGCTTGGATGATGAGAAGATTGGGTACGGTTGTTTTTTGTAATAATTGTGCATTGTAATTGCTTATTGGTAATTTATGGATAATGTGTTAAGTCAATTGTTATATGTTGTATGGAACCACTGCTGTTTCTACTGTTTTTACTGTTTGTGAACCGCCGTGAGTTGCCTTCGGGCTTGAGATACAGCGGTATATAAGCAAAGTAAATAAATAAATAAATAAATAAACCTGGACACAGCATATTATTTGAGAACACAGAAATGCTGGACCACACCAACAGCCACCATGTCAGACTACACAGAGAAGCCATTGAAATCCACAAGCATGTGGACAATTTCAACAGAAAGGAGGAGACCATGAAAATGAACAAAATCTGGCTACCAGTATTAAAAAAACTCTAAAATTACAACAGCACAACAACAGAGTGGAAACAAACAAGGACATCTAATCACCTCTCAACAAAAGTTTGCTCTAGGCACTGTCAGGCCATTATATGCTAATCAAGGTGGTCAGTTGAAACATTCACACCTAGCTCCAGCAGACAAGAGTCCTTTGTCCCACCCTGGTCATTCCACAGATATATAAACCCTTTTTCCTAGTTTCCAACAGACCTCACTACCTCTGGGGATGCTTGCCATAGATGCAGGCGAAACGTCAGGAGAGAATGCCTCTAGAACATGGCCATATAGCCCGGAAAAAACCTACAACAACCCAGTGATTCCGGCCATGAAAGCCTTCAACAATACATCATTACTATTATTATTATTATTATTATTATTATTATTTGGGCAAAACATCAGGAGAGAATGCTTCTGGAACATGGCTATACAGCCCAGAAAACTCACAGCAACCTTATTATTATTATTATTATTATTATTATTATTATTATTATTATTATTATTTACTGACACAAAACCACAGTATGTCACAGCAAACGAGATCTCTAGGCTGGATTTCCTATCACAAAATCACAAGTTGAACACTTCCCAAGTGTCTAGGACTGTGTGATGTATTTATTATTATTATTATTATTATTATTATTATTATTATTAATAATAATAATAATAATAAATTTTATTTCTATTTATATTATTAAGGGTGTGAGGATGATAGTGTACTCCCTGAATTGCTACCAGAGAGTTCCCAGGATTCGGGACTTGAAAACAACTGGGCACCTGGCCCAGCTGCAAGACTTAATGAGCAAATAGATAGGCGAGAGGAAATTAGTCAAAACAGACAGGCTGAACAGTGCCTTCGGTGTTCTGCCAGGCTCCGACAGAAAAAGATAAGGGGATCTCAAGTAAAACGAAACCAATTCCTGAGTGTGTGGAATAGCTTAACAAGGGGTTAAAAGTTCCAAGTATGGGAAATATAGTCACAGCAACCTTATTATTATTATTTTACTGACACAAAACCACAGTATGCTGTTCTACACCCACTTGTACCCTTCCCCATTCCCCATATCTTTGCAATGAAAATTATATGAGAAAATGGGAAGACATTCCTCCTGTTCGAGAGAAAGAGACTGGACATGGAGACACTTGAGGGGGTGACGTAAGCCAACAAATAGTGTGGTGGGTGGGAAAACTGAATGCAGTGGGTGCCAAATAAAGGGGTGAAAGGAAACCACAGCAATGGTTTGGAGGCTTTGGGAGGGGAGCCACGGCCGATGTCTTCACCCATCTCTCGTCCTCAATGCAGCCGAAGGGCGGTTGCCATGTCCGGAGCGGGTAGAGCAGAGCAGAGCTTGCTGTGTTTGCCACTTACCTTTTGGTGGGTGTCGGGGCCCCCGAGGAGGAGGAGACGTGGGTCACCATGGCGTCATTCATGTTGCCCAGCGGACGGGAAGGGCTGCGGAACAAAAGCAAGGGGTCAGTTGTGGGTAGAGAGTATTTATTTATTTATTATTTATTTATTATTTGCATTTGTTAACCGCCACTCTCAGCCCGAAGGCGACTCGTGGCGGTGTACAAAACATAGACCATAAAGACAACGCTTACAGTAAATTCAGAGACATAACACACATCTTACTAACACACAACTAATTAAGCTAAAAATCCGCTTCGTCTTGTTTGGGTCATAATCAGTCTCGTAGTCCTAGTCCATTCCGGTGGTCATACCAAGCATAGCACTTAATCGAAGGCTTTTTCAAAGAGCCAGGTTTTTAGGCCCTTGCGGAAGGCCATAAGGGAAGGCGCCTGTCTAATTTCAGCGGGGAGGGAGTTCCACAGCCGGGGGGCCACCACCGAGAAGGCCCGCTCCCTGGTCCCCGCCAAGCGTGCCTGTGAGGCAGGCGGGACCGAGAGAAGGGCCTCCCCGGATGATCTCAAGGTCCTCGTGGGCTCGTAGGCCGAGATGCGGTACTCAAGGTATTTTGGGCCGGAACCGTTTAGGGCTTTGTAGGTTAGCACCAGCACCTTGAATTGAGCCCGGTAGCTGATCGGCAGCCAGTGGAGCTGGGATAGCAAGGGCGTTGTGCGCTCCCTGCGTCCCGCTCCGGTTAACAACATGGCTGCCGCGCGCTGGACTAGCTGAAGCTTCCGGGCCGTCTTCAAGGGCAGCCCCACGTAGAGAGCGTTGCAGTAGTCAGGCGGGATGTGACCAAAGCGTGTACCACCGTGGCCAAGTCAGACTTCCCAAGATACGGGCGCAGCTGGCGCACAAGCCGAAGTATGTGCCTGCTCTTATCACAGGTCACAGAAATACATACCAAATTATACCCTAATGTTGCCTCTATGATCCACCTTGTGCCCTCTCCCAAAATTGGGACTCCAAGTAGTTTCTGGTTTTTAGGTACAGGTTTGTTCTTTATGACCATTTTTTTTGTCGTGTCAGGAGCAACTCGAGAAACTGCAAGTCGCTTCTGGTGTGAGAGAATTGGCCATCTGCAAGGCCATCTGCCATCTGCTCAGGGGATGCCCAGATGTTTTGATGTTTTATTATTCTTGTGGGAGACTTCTCTAATGTTCCCACATGGGGAGCTGGAGCTGACAGAGGGAGCTCATACGCGCTCTCACGGATTCGAACCTGCAACCTGTCTGGTGAAAAATACAGTTACAACATAACACACACCATTGAAATGCATTTTAAACACACAATTCCTTTCTCCCCACAAAGATCCCACCCACATCTTTCCCCACAGTATATGGCCCTCCACGCTTTTCTAACGGTCCCAGTTGTTCCCCAATGCTTTCCCACAAAACTCCTTGTCCTCTCCAATGCAAAGTAAGGAGCCAAGGAGGCAAATTCTGCCCCATTTCCACCTCCTGCATCACTTTAGGAGAAGTCTATTTCTAACTGGAAGTGACCCAGAACCTGGCTTGAGGTTTGCATCTTGTTGGAGAAGGTCTTACAAAGGCTCAAGGACAGCCCAAATGTGTCCCCATGCACTCTCTGGGCATTTTGGGCTGCTCTAATTTGGGGGCTGGGGAACCCCTTCAATCCCTTTACATTAGGAGAAAAGAAAATCAATGCAGTTTCAAGCCTGGTCCTGACATTTGGGGGCAGAGAATCTCAGAGGCTAAATTGGCATGAATTGGAAAGTGGAAGGGCACCCCATAAAGAAGTCTGATGACATGTTCGGTTGTTGTAGGTTTTTTCGGGCTATATGGCCATGTTCTAGAGGCATTCTCCTGACGTTTCGCCTGCATCTATGGCAAGCATCCTCAGAGGTAGTGAGGTCTGTTGGAACTAGGAAAATGGGTTGATATATCTGTGGAATGACCAGGGTGGGACAAAGGACTCTTGTCTGCTGGAGCTAGGTGTGAATGTTTCAACTGACCACCTTGATTAGCATATAATGATCTGACAGTGCCTAGAGCAAACTTTTGTTGAGAGGAAATTAGATGTCCTTGTTTGTTTCCCCTCTGTTGTTGTGCTGTTGCAATTTTAGAGTTTTTTAATACTGTCAACCAGAGAATTCAGCCATAGCAGAGCACCTGATGAACCAACCTGGACACAGCATATTATTTGAGAACACAGAAATGCTGGACCACTCTCACAACCACCATGTCAGACTACACAGAGAAGCCATTGAAATCCACAAGCATGTGGACAATTTCAACAGAAAGGAGGAAACCATGAAAATGAACAAAATCTGGCTACCAGTATTAAAAAAAACTCTAAAATTGCAACAGCAAAACAACAGAGAGGAAACAAACAAGGACATCTAATCACCTCTCAACAAAAGTTTGCTCTAGGCACTGTCAGGTCATCAAATGCTAATCAAGGTGGTCAGTTGAAACATTCAGACATAGCTCCAGCAGACAAGAGTCCTTTGTCCCACCCTGGTCATTCCACAGATATAGAAACCCAATTTTCCTAGTTCCAACAGACCTCACTACCTCTGAGGATGCTTGCCATAGATGCAGGCGAAACGTCAGGAGGAGAGAATGCCTCTAGACCATGGCCATATAGCCCGAAAAAACCTACAACAATCCAGTGATTCCGCCCATGAAAGCCTTCGACAATATTCTTGGCTTATTACTTGCCCTTAATGAGAGGATATGATCACGCAGCCACTCCAGGCTTATAAATACCACTGCCCTCCAAATTTCCCTTTTAAATCCCCACTTAGCCTGATAACCAGAAGAGAAGGGAACGGGAACGTGACCATCTGGCTAAAAAGGAGGTTTCTGTTTCCACCAGGCCTTTTACTGCTCCTATTGTGCTCCATTAAGATTACTATTTGATTATCATATTATATTTCTATACTCCTTTTATCTCTACCGACTGAGACGCACCATTGATTTGCTGGTGTCACAAAACCTGATATCTGAAACAACCACCACAGTGACTCAGATCAAACAATACACAAGTGAGAAAACATTTCTGTGTTTGGAAATTAGGTTACTCAAGTTCGGCATTGAACGACACCTACATTTTCCCTTCCTTGCAAACACTGCTTTTAAAAACACATAGAAATTGCAGTCCCACCCAAGAGGATTCTCCAGGCTCTGTTTCAATGGCAAACAGTCTACAACTACGGCTTCGAAGCATCTTCTAGCAACACAAGGCCAGGAACTCAAGGCACTTGTTGTGATGTGCTGCTGTGTTCCTTTATTCCCAAGTAGCCCAAACCTCCAGGGTTGTTGTTCAATCAGACACTGGGAGCAAGGAGATTGTTCAACAGGTTTATTTGATCAAATCAACCTGCCGGGTGAACAAGTGCCATGCAAAACGGAGACACAGCTGTCTTTATGGCATGAGCATAGGCTATTTCCTCCAATTTCAGCCTCATCTCTCTCTTTTCCCTTTGTTTTCTTCCAGCACCAGCTCTTATCGGTATGTCTGCACCTGCCTTTCCTCAGCAGACGATTCTCTCTCCTGCATCTCCCCTTCCTGCGTCTGCTTGTTACTACGCATTTCCTTTCTGAACGTTCCCCTTGTCTGAACTCTACTTTGGCTGTTGATTTTCCACTACTACCTTAGCCCTAGTCCCTTCATAGTGGTCTTGCTCTGAGACCCCTTCCACTTGCCCTGAGGAAGAAACCCTGAGATCCGGAAGTCTTGCACCTGGCCCCTTCCCTTCATGGCCTCACGAGTGGGCCACATCTCTTCCGCAACTTGCAACGATGTGCTCCTGTCTTCAGCCATGGGCACATCGCTCTTAATGGAGCTCATCCCCTTCCAATCTCCTTATTCTGCCTCTTCTGTTTTCATTTATGCAAAATAAGGTTCTCCGTAACATGATTAACCAGGATTCATGCCTCGGTTGGCAATGTCACTGGAGCAGTGAATCTACTCCAAGTTTCAGCTTAGAATGAGCTCTCCAAGGTACTGAGGGCCTACTCAGGATGGCTATTCAGCACCTTGCAGAGCTCCCTTAAGGTCAGAACCAAAACCTGGAGTGGATTTGCTGCTATGAAATGGAAGCCACCGCTCACCAACAACTCAGGTCCATTGTTGTATCTCAGCAAAGAGATATCTTTGGCTTCGTTCCTCACCATCCACCATGGATGTGGAACTGGACTGGAATAGTTATATGGTTTGACAATAATGGTTTTTAATTGTTTTAATTAATGTTTTATCTATTGTTTTAAATTGCTGTTATATTGTTGTATCTGTTTATTTGTTATGGCATCAAATTGTCAACCTTGAGAAGGTTGAGAAGGATGGGGTAGAAATGCTGGAAATAATAAATCTATATAAATAAAAATGTAATGTTCGTTTGTGGGATTGACATAACTCAAAAACCACTGGATGAATTGACACAAAATTTGGACACAATACACCTCTCAGGCCAACGAGTGACCATCACTCATAAAAACACTGAAAAACACAGCAGAAGAGACTTTAAAAGCCAAAAAACAAAAAAAAAATACATTACAACATATGCACAAAACCACATATATACACACTAGCCATCCCCTGCCACACGTTGCTATGGCCCACTCTGGTGGTCATGGGGTTCTGTGTGGGAAGTTTGGCCCAATTCTATCGTTGGTGGGGTTCAGAATGCTCTGTGATTGTAGGTGAACTACAAATCCCAGCAACTACAACTCCCAAATGTCAAGATTCTATTTTCCCCAAATTCCATCAGTGATCACATTTGGCCATATGGAGTATTCGTGTAGAGTTAGGTCCAGATCCATCCTTGTTTGAGTCCACAGTGATTTCTGGATGTAGGTGAACTACAACTCCCAAACCAAAAAACACTGTCCACCAAACCCTTCTATTATTTCCTGTTGGTTGTGGGAGATCTGTGTGCCAAGTTTGGTTCAATTCCATCATTGGTGGGGTTCAGAATGCTCTTTGATTGTAGGTGAACTATAAATCCCAGCAACTACAACTCCCAAATGACAGAATCAATTTTTTTGAGTGAAGGACATACATTGGGTTGTTAGGTGTCT